CAGTTTGCAGCATTCTTTGTATATTGCATTTCCAGAAACGTGCAAAAAGTGAACTGAGAATAGTACTTGTAGTTTATCGTATTCTTTTATCAATCTTATCTCGTTGTGATCACTCTCAGAAACGCTTCAAATTGAATAATCACATAATTATTTCTCCTCCTTCCCCTCATTCTTTAGGCTTAGAAAATCGGGGGACGATCGCTACTTAAACAAAGAGGAGAACAACCGAGTCCTACAAGGAAATGATGGTGAGCTATCATTTATTTCTCTTTATACCAGCATGTGGAAATGACGCTACACATAGCGCTGCAACACTGCAACTGCAACTCTGCAACGTGAACAACTCGATGGCACACGTACGGCAGAAGCTTGAACTGGTTTCCCTTGTCTTCCAACCACGGGAGGCAGAGGGGTCAAGGAGGTAAATTTCACGGCGAGTCCATTAATTCCACACTTTGCCAGAAGAATCGGCACCCTTTTAAAACACCGATTTGTATTTTACCAGGTTGCGACGCGTTTTCAAGCCGACAACTAAGGCACAATGGACGGCACGTGCAAGGCGCGTGTGACACGCTCACAACCGAGCGTCTGCCGCGCGGGATCCCGGGATTGATCTCACATAACTCCGAAGGGCGACTGTCATACATTTTGGTCGCGAACAGGGCGCTGGCCTTGCCCTCAAATTCAGGCCAATGGATACTGTAAACAACCACATTTTATTTGTTCTCTGTTAGATTGTGATAATGTTGCGTTGGTAAAGCCAGATGCGCCTATGTTAGAAACACATTAGGCACTCCGCGTCTCGATGTTAGCATTGTAGTCTACTAAAAAACCAGCGGGAAGTTTCCATTAATAAAAAAGAGAACTACATTAAACAAGCTCCGCTTGAAAAAGGAGTTATTGGCACAACAGATGTGCGTTGAAAAGCCCTGAAAATAAAAATCAGCGTTCACAATGAGATTTTTTTCTGCAAAAAGTAGCAACAGTAATTGACCAATTTGCCGTTCTTTGAGTATATGCGTTTGTCGTTATGGCTTGGATTATTCAACGACAATGCAAACCAACCTTTTACAGAGCGTAAAGATCAAATTCCCCGGACTGTTCGTTTTCTTTACTCAAAAGGCCTGCAAGGAATTTGTAGAATTATGTCTGCCGAAGTTTGTCGAGTGGAAACGCCAGAGTTGGGCAGTCGTTGTTCATATCCGATTTAAGGGTTAATAAAATCATAAAAGACGCTTCATGTACATTTTGTACTAAGCCGAGCATCACAATTGCACGTGCCTTATTTCATTGTCAAAGAAGAAAACTTCTCACAAAAATATTTCACGGCAGACAAATGGATCAAATCAGAAAACAATGCATGGGGAGACTTTACGAAATCGTTTGCTATGGGTATGATCAGTGAGGCTCAGCACGAAAGTATTTTAATCTGCTACATTATTAATTTAAATAACACAGTTTTAACATACATGTCACCATTCAGACAGCAAATCTGTCTTATTAGTCGTGTTTATGAGTAGAATGGACTCCAGTGAACGATCCTTTCAATCAGCTGCAACTAAACCAAATTATTTTTTAAAAATTAGAAAAAGGCAAAAAAGTTGTTTATCTCGAAGGAATTGCGTTGCCAATATATCACAACATGAACTACCACTATTACCTTATAAGTAGAAAAATGTAGCAGTGCGAAATTGTTACTGGTATCAGCTTAGAGATGCAGAACGGTCGCAACCCCTCTTACAGAAAGAAGCAGCTTAGTACCAATGCTATATATCTACCGTAGATAGTGCGAAGAGTGCGTATACCTGTTTATTACTCACGCCTCCCAAGTCAACAGAGTGTTGTGAACTGTTGCGAAAACATTTGGCCAGCGGCTGGACACAAGAAACAGTCCCTGCTTCTGGGGATTGTGATCTGGTCTGTCTCGCTGCTCTAGGCGGCACTTTAAGACGAGAAACAGAGAGATTTGCGCATAACACGCGCACTCTACCACCCTAAGGCACTGCCTGAAGCATCCACCAACATCCCAACCGTCTCTGGTTGAGGTAATTGCAAGGATGAAAATCCCGCGCCGGATCTGGCTCGGCGCCTCGTTAAACCAATTAGGACAGCTAATACAGTGTGTTTACACGATTTGCCATCATACCTTATACGTGGTTAAAAAAAATATAATCTGTTTAGTGATTTCAATAAGGTAGAATGCCAAAGTACTTTACTGCGTCTAGTTTCGGCAAGTATGGTAACGTATAGTATCACTTTGAAAGAGATAACTTGCCAAGGTTTCGAACGATTAAAATATGAGGAAGAGAAATAGATATACTGCAGTTTGACGTCATCAGAAAGACAGATAAACGCATTTTTTTGTGAGAAATGTGGTATTGTTCCAACTTTTGGATCGTTTTGCGCCGTGACGTCACGGTAGCTTCTCAGTGAGTCCTCCGATCCTCGACTCAGAGGCATAAGTATTCAGATGCTGTTATTTTATACAGGCTATCAGCGACATGTTCTGCAGAGTCTACCTGTGATCTAACAGAAAAATTCTGTGAAAGTTCCCTTTTAAGTGATTGTCTTGTCCCTTTGAACTTTGTGAAAAAAGTACTCATAAAAGATGCCCAAAGTCAAGGCATCACCCCGTCGGATTTGCAGAAGCCCCATTAGGTTATTGACCCACACCTGGCTATTTGCAATTTCATCAAAAATATCATTGTGACAGGATTATAATAATAAGTGATCCTCTGCGTCAGTCGAAAATCTTTTCCTCATCAATTCAACTGCGACTACTAGCACATGCACCCTGCCTCAAAAAGCTCTATACACGTATCAATCTTGTTTTTGTCATAATTCAAAGTCTTCGATGGTTGTATTCTGTAGCAATTTTTTTTTCTGTAAGGGCAGAGTTTGCGATCGAGAGCAAAAGCAGCTTTGCGTCCTAACCGGCGCCGTATTGCAGTAGGTATTATTTGTATGAAAGTGTACTTTCTGCTTATGGTAGTGCATTGCGTAGCATTCCAATACAATTCTTCCGTTTTCCTACCCGCATATACCGTACATCTCCCCAGGCTGTTTGCAGGCTCAAGAGCTATTAGTAGATATGATTAATACTAGTAAATGGTTTTTATCCATCGTCCAAAGGCAGATGGAATATACCGCCGCTTTGACCATCAGTCCCGGAGTACAACCGGGAATCTTTTTAGAATATTGATGTAATAAGTTAAAGAACTGACGATCCTTGTCGATGTAAGCGCGCGAGAGGCGATTGTTATATCCTTTGGTAGCTTAAGAAGCAAAAAAGGCGGGACTCTTCAAAAGGGTTCAAGTACAGGTACCAGCGTAGCGATTGTCACGCATCATTTACAAGTGGTAAGTAATCCGCTTACCAGCGAAGGAAATAATTCGGTTTGTGACGTTGGGGGGGTTCTCCTTGTCTGCCTCTTCAACTACACGTTGGGAAAAAGTGCACGTAATGGAAATGAGTACGTGAGGTCAAGATGGCATTAGGGGCGATTAGGCCACTTTTCGCCCCTAGGGTTAATTGTGTATGGTGTGGGAAATTCTTCTACTTCAACTTGTAGAAAAGGCTCACAAATCACGACAGTCGAGCGTGTCCGTCAGTAAATTGGGAAGAACTCGTGCCAGCAAAATTATGTTCCGTTTCCAATTTTTATGTCAGGGTGGTTGTGTGTGGAAGTGGACCCGAAATATTAATCTTTTGACTCTTCCTAGCCCATTTCACGGTCGACAAAAAGGCGCGACGCGTATTGGCAATTTAATAATTATTTCCCACTGGGTCCTCAGTACACGCCGAGGCGACATCTGTCCGCGTTGCGCTTCCCTAATTTTAAGCTTTAATAACCTCAACAAAACCGAGTTACTGATCCAGAGGATCCAGAAAGAACCCAGTGTGAATTCTAGAATGCATAATATTAAATTATTACTGACTGATTTAGCGGCAGATGCACAGAGATCGGTTTACGTTAGAAACTCAACTTGGACAAGCTGTACTTCCGTTTCACAGACAGCAGCGATTAGGCAAAGGTTCTATAAACACACAAGTGCCACGTACACAACTAGTACACGGGCGGCTCTTTTTACTTTACATATTTTGTAATTAACCATTTAGGTTTTGTTTTGTGATTTAGCCATGGGGGGGGCGATAGGTTAAGCGCTCCGGGGCACTGCCTGAATAGAATCTAAATGTAGTAATGGCGCCATCTAGGGGGTAAAGGTTGAAATTTTGTGCAAGTCCAATTTTCCAGATTGATTAAGATATATTATTTATGGTCATTCAGGTGAATCTTACAAAACTCTCAAACCCAAACTTTTTATAGCCTTATTCCCTTATCCCTTGTTTCACTTTCTGTTTGTTTAAGCTCCTTGTTTCTTTGACTGAGCAAAATCGTTAAAACTTTTTTTTTTATGTTAGCAGCTCTTCATAACCACTGAAGTTGTAGTGTGCGCTGTTTTTCTTGGTGTCACTGTCCTCCAATTAGGGCCCTCCCTATCCCCGCAGATCATATAGGTGAGACTACAGATGTTCAACTCACCATCCGAGCGCTAGCGCGCCGGGCTAGTACTTCTGCTGGAAATTTGCAGAGCGCCCCCATTAGATGTACAAAGGAAATGTTTGTAAACTTATGATAAATTGGGGTAAATTAAACTTGAAGTGCCTTCAAATATAAACTTTTAAAACCAAAATGACTGTTCAGAGTCAAGACTTAAGTGTTAAAACTGACGTTTAAGGAAGCGTGAAGCAAAGTCTCTTTTATTAAAAAATTATGTGAAAGCATCAATAAATACATTCCAGACTGGTGCAAATAAAATCATTATCAGTTTGGTATCTTTGATCAAACATTTTAGGACGAATCAACAGTATCTACCGAAATATTTGTCACCAGAAACAATCGGTCTCTGAACATATTACTTTGAATTAATCCAGCTTTGATATCATTACCTCACTATAACCCTTCTATTTTGATTATAAAATGCAAATTTAACGATTATAATTTTCACGCATGCTCATTTTTTATTTACTTATTCCGTGCACACTGTTACATACACATTGTTGTTACTAAATTCTTAGCTTTCAATTGACAGAAAACATGGGAGGAGCTGTCATGGTTTAGCAGCAGGAAGAATTCAACTTGATTTGGGTACAAAGTCTTCTGTAATTAATCTTTGTATAGTGGTCCTTGAGAAACATTAACTGTGCTCAGCAAATACACTTTGCAAGTCAAGGTATGGTCATCAAATACACTTTGCAAGTCAAGGTAGTTTTTCCTGAAAAGAAGAACATCTACCAGTTATTTTGATCTTGTACAAAGTTCATATCTTAATACAGTTTTTAAGAATATTTCAGATATCTATTCCTTACCTACAAAGCTACAAATTATACTGCTTCATATAAATTATATGCTTGGACTGAAAAGACAATGAAGGTACACTCATTTTTTAAGCAATTGCAAAAGTATGAGCAAAATGATAAGATTTCTTTTATTTGGAGTCTGTGTTATGAAGGCAACATGTATAGAGAGAAAGACAAAAAGTTTCACAAATTGCAAGCAAAGATGGTGAATTTGAAATAGTTTGGCATCTTTTTAATCAACGATTACATCTGCAAATGCACAACTTTGCTCAATGGCTAAGTTGTAATCATCCCCCTTGCCTCCCTTATATAGACTGGTGACAATCCGGAACCAGCCTTTCTCCCCCTACAAGAAAAACAGAAACAAGACAATCAATGAAAACTAAATACTGATTATTATTAAATCATTACAACGGCTTGTGCATTTTCTAGCAAATAAAGTGTTCAGGGGCTAGTTTAAAAATAATTCAGAATTTCGATCAACATCCTTGAGTGTAGTTTTAAAAAAATTGATAAGAGGAAAGGGTCATCAATGTCACTGATGTAAAGAATAGAGTAAAAAAATCACAGTAACATTCTTACTGAATGTAATCTCTTTTGAAATGACCAGACTCACCCAAGGCACACCCCAGGAGTTGCGGACAATCCAGTACTCAGTGGCGTTTTCAACTCCCCAGCCTGCTACTGACACAATGTGGTCGATCTGTAAAAGCAAAATGGCCCAACCTTTGAGGTCCAGTGCCATAACTAAGGAGGGCAGGACACTGGTATTAGAGCATGCCCCCCCCACTTGAGGCCCGTGCATGCTACTTCTGCAGTTGGGCTTAATCAGAGACCCAAAATGCGGATTTGTAAGCCTTTGTAATGTTAACACTACCAATAAAATAGACCTATGTAAGACGGTTGATGTTCCTTCAGCTTAACACATACTGAGCCAGTCTCTCCACAAGTCAGTGACCTTTTTCATTTGAGGTACAATATGGAAACAAGGCTGAGGATTCACAAACGGCCTGAAGGCAGCTTTTGGTGCTACTCACCCCTGGGGTGGGGTTGTACTCCTCATAAATCCTGCCTCCTCTGAACTGCTGTAGTTTCTTGGTGGCATCAATGCCACAGCTGGCACATTTTAGAAGGAAAAAATAAACAAATGAAATCTTCAATAAGTCACATAATTTTCCCATCTTTCAACAAAACTCTAATTCAGTTCAGAAAGTTTAATGCTTGCTGACAGACAAGGAAATAAAATCAGGGGAGTCAAGGAAATTTAGCAAAATGCCAGCAGAGCACTTTAAAAATCCAATAGTATTTTAATTTAGGCTGGCCAGTGTTATCCGGACTGAAACCTGTCACAAACCCACCTGAACAAACAATTGATGTTCCATTGGTGAAAATGAAACTTAACAGGAAACAGAACCATATAGGTAAAAGTAAAGTCAACCCAGAAATGTAACAAACTTGCAGCATTTAACAAAGAAACTGAGACTGTGCCATTTAAAGCATTGTCATTGGTGTGAAATAACCATTTTACCTTCAGTAATAGATTTCTTTATCAAAACTTGTAATTCTTTCAGAGGTTCTTTGTTTACTACCAACTGACATGATTCTATGATGAACTTGTATAGGCAAGTTTACTGTACATCAACTCGGGCTTTAGTTTCTTGATGTTTTCCTGAATTCCCTTTTTTTAATTCACTACACTCATTTCTTGTTTTGTGGTGGGTGTGATACAAATTAACAGATCAAATTACTATACAAAAGTATCCCTCTCTAAAACAACCTTGCTTTTAAGCTGAGGATCATTCTAACCAATCTCCTCATCTTTGAGTCACTCATCTAATTGGCCCATCTCAGTGAGTCACCCACCTGAGTGGCCCATCTAAGTAAGTTACTCACCACAGTGGCCCATCTCAGTGAGTCACCCACCTGAGTGGCCCATCTAAGTAGGTTACTCACCAGAGTGGCCCATCTTAACTCACCACATTGGCCCATCTCAGTGAGTCACCCACCTGAGTGGCCCATCGCCGTAGGTTACTCACCAGAGTGGCCCATCTTAACTCACCACATTGGCCCATCTCAGTGAGTCACCCACCTAAGTGGCCCATCTCCGTAGGTTACTCACTTGAGTGGCCCATCTTAACTCACCACATTGGCTCATCTTAGTGGTCACCCACCTGATTGGCCCATTCTGATAGATCTCAGCCATCATCTTTTTCCGTCCATTCAGTTGACCGAAGTCAGCTACTTTCCACACTTTGTAATCTGCAGCTGCTATTGGGGCACATTTACCAAACGTTGTGCAGGTTCCACACTGATCGAATGGTTTACAATCTGTAGTCAGTCAAGAAACAATCAACATTACAGGAACATATTCGAAACATTTGATTTTTTTATGACAAGTTTTCCTATTTCACCTGTATGTTGAAATATTTCTGAGTAAAAAGTTAAAAAGTGTAAAGTTTATAAAAGAAAAAATTAAGGTTTTCACACTGACCTTGATTTTTGGCCTGATAATTATTGCATGTCTCGTCTGGTATACCATGAGAGTGTGCATAGGCATAAACCCCCATGTCCGAACCTCCCTCACAAGTGCCTGCATCACCACAGTCGATAACATTCTGAGGGGACAGGTAAGCAGAGGGAAAGGCACCTTTCCGTTTGATGTTGATACGATCTGCAGATAACAGGCAGAAAAAACTCAGTTTGTAAATAAAAAAGTTCTCCATGACCTATTAATATCAAACTGTACCCAAGTTATAGTTTTCAGAAATGCATTCTCTTCTGACCACATTGTGTGTTACTGATTGCATATGCAGGAACATCACATGATTGTGTTTTAGGGTGGCAGAAATTGGTATGAGTAAGTTGACTCAATGATCTAAACTGGTTACCTTGTTGGCATGTTTGGACTGCTTGTAGGAAGAAGCTTAGTGTGGTTGTTTTGGGCACACCAGGAAACTGGAATGGTAAAGTGTACATCCTGATCTTTTGTTCTATTCTCTCATTTTAGAACCTAATGATAACGACTTGTTTTACCTGCCATGGCACTGGTTGAACCCATAGCCCAGCAACTGCCACAGTATTGAGGAATGTGCTGATTGCGCGTTGTGCTTGCGTAGTTTACATTACTACGATTGCGCCAGTCCAACTCCTTAGGTAGGTCATTGGGACTGGCATCCCAATGAGGTCGAGGGTATGTCCTGAATTTTAACAGGGGTCAAAGCAGATAAAAATGTATTTCAACAAAAAGAAATAAGTGAAGCTAATTAATACATGTGTTAACTTTAGGTCACAAGAATGAACATTCCGGAATTTCGTCTACTGCCCGTATACCGCAGAAACAGCTGCCGAAAAATTTTAGTATTCCAAAATTTTAATCATTTTAGAAAAACCATTGTTTAAAAAAATAGCAAAGAAATGCCCGAAAAATAATCGAGAGTCCGTAAATGGGACAAAAAACATGTGCATACAAATTAGTCATGGCATTATATGCAAGGCAGACGGATAGAGAGGTGTATGCATTTCAAGATTGGTTTCCATTGCTTGGGTGTGTACATGCTTTGCAATCATAGCCTCATAGGTTTTCAAAATTTTCTGAAAGGAATTCGGGGATGTAATAGAAAACAACTGCAAACAGCTTGCTGACTACAATGACGTAAAATACCAATCTCAAAATATGGAGGACCTGACGTTTCGATCCCAGCAGAATCTCTCTCAACGGCAAAATAACAAGTGGACTGGACAGAGAATCAACTAAGCATAGATGAATGCAAGAGGACAAAAGGAAAGGTTTCTGTCCTCCTGCATTTATCCATACTAGCCTTGGTTGATTCTCTGTGTACTTGTTTGTCCTGTCCACAAAGTGTCATTTTGCCTTTAAGAAAGATTCTGCTAGGATTGAAACGTCAGGCCCGCCCTATTTTGGAAATTCTGGGATATTCATTCTCCTGGCCTCATGACCGAGGAAGGACGACTGAATGTTTTCCTTCGGTTGGGGCAAATCGTGGTTTTTTTTGGGGGGGGGGATTGTTATACGGGCAAAATTTCTCTCTCTAGATTCAAGACAATTTGTACATTTTGTATTAATTTACACTTTTATAGCATAAAAAACCCTCTCCCAGCCTAACAGCCCCTCCCCCAGGCCTGGCTCTTCCGCTTAAAGAAATTTTCGGTGCGTCATTGGTATCAACAGCGGACACTGAGCAACTTAAGAGGTTTAGAACTTACCTAACTTCTTTGAACTTCTTGTTCAATTCTGGCCGAAAACAGGGAGAATCGAGTTCCGAATGAACACCTACGAAGAGCAGTACGACAAACACCGGCAAAACTGCAGGATACATTTTGTGTTTATGGGAAAGACTTGAGACGGGACTTTGAGGACAAATGTGCACTAGTCAGCTCCTCCGACTCTGACTAAACGAACTAAACTACGATCCAACTTGAAGGGGCGGTCACGGTGACTTTGTGTTTGTGATGGATCCACATGACTATCATCACGTGCAAAAGATATCACGTGAATGCAGTCCGTACAGTAATCAGAGTACCATGCCCTGACCTGCTGGAGGAGCCCCTCTTCAGTTCACGGAATTAGAAATCACTGGGATATTTGTTTTGTAGGACTGTACCATCACACGACTCGGAGGCAAAGCCAGATTGCGGTAAATATTACATGCGTTGTGTGAAATGAAATTATTCTTCGCATACACGAATGTTCGTTTTTATGCCAGAGTTGGTCGGACCACAATATATCACGTTCAAAAAGAAAAGTGGTTCTGTAATAATCATATTTTTATCAATGGATCATTCGCATTACTTTTTGGTGTGGACTTTTAGAAACGCGGCTGGTTTATACTAATAAATCATAGGCCTGACGGCCTTGCTTAAAGTTACGTACATCATGGAGGTAGATCATAAAATTTATTGTTAGGAAATTTTTCTGAATTTTTCGTTGATTTGGAGTCCCCAATAAAATCATAGGAAACCTTTCCCGAATTTCTCGAAAATATGGTTTGTGCACAGAGTGTCTAGCGACGTCCGTCCACGGAAATCTTTCCCAATTATTTAATTATTATTTTGGAATGACGTCATTTAGTGCGCTCTCGCTCGGCTGTAGGTTTCCACCCCCCTTCCATGGATTCTTCCACGCATCTATACCTTACCACACCCAAGACACCCCCGTTGCACTGGCAACAGGGTAGTTGATAGAACTACGTCACGCAGGGTCGGTAAACTTTGTAGTCGCTGGTACTTGTGGGAGAGTGTTTGCTTTATTTAAGTGGGTTAAATAGTGCACCAGTTAAGAAAATGGATACTTGCCGGGTACAGAAATGACCATGACAAGTTTCGATCTTTGGCGATTGCGGTTCGATTGCTGGAATTCAATCGATCACATTTGACTTTTTTCCAGAAAATGATTGCTGCCAATAAAGGTGAGAAGACGTGTCAGGTATTGATTCAACTCAGATGGTCTGATCTTGGTCATTGTGGTTATACTGTGGTTCCTTCCTCCATGGTTATACTTTGCTTTAAGTTTCGTATTGCCGGTCGCACATGGGCCAAGCATGGCCTAGCCCAGTGATTTACGTGCATGAAGACAACGTCCAACACTTACAAGTTACTTGGTCCAACCATGGAGGAAGCCTTCCTCCATGGTCCAACCTGGGCTATAATGAAATCCGTCAGGTCACACATGACGTGTGCAGTAGGCTATAATGCGTGCAGATTTAATTTGTAAACCCTGGCCATAGTACAGTAATAGTTGTAGCTCAGGCTCCTCGGTCAAGTTGGTGAAAACTTGGATTTTGAAAATAAGGGACTAAGTTCTGAGGACTGTAAATTTGGGGACCCTGTTCCTATAATAGAAGGGAGAGCTACATTTTAACTGTTGAATTCAGATCGTTCATGAATAACAACAAAAAGTGTGGAGTTGTGCTAAATTTCCTGCAAAATATGTTGTCTGTGAGCGTATTTAGTACCTTTAACTCGGCATCTATGGAATTTAGGATACAAGGCACTCATGAACGACATTTTAGCTGCCTCCACCAGGTGAAAATGTGAGAAAAAAACTTGTCACTATGGCAGGAGGACTTTATGTCCTAGTCGCAATGCAGTGTACATGTAGACGACGTCCACATTTACTCAGGAAACATTTAGAAATTTTTAGACCAGTGTCATAGAGTTTGGTCACGGGTTGTCAAGTGGAACCAGTATATGGAACTCTTTTCTGAACATAAATTTCCAAAAAAAATTCCTTTTTTAATATTTAGGCCTAAAGACAGCAAAGCATTCGTTCACATGACTTTCGTCACACTACGTTGCCAAACCTCTGTCTTGAAAAACTTAAAACTCATTTGGTTAAAAACTGGGACCGTTGCCTTCGTGATACAGGGTGTTTATGAACAATTTCTGTGTCATAAATTCCGATGTTTGAAATCCAAAATTGTCGGCAATCGAAATTCAGCTGAGTGTTCCCTACCATTGCTCACTTGAAAAATCTCAGAAAATCCCATATAAACATTTACAAAATCCCTTGAAGTTGATAAATTCTTGTAAAGCACCATTACCTTCACTCAAATACCAACCCACAAGTTTGTAAAAAAATTCTTTTCCTAATTTTTGGCACATTTTAAACAAACTCAATTCGCACGTCGGAAAAAAAAGGCAAAATCAGTCGAAAATAAAATTTCATTCAAACTTTGTACATGTAGCAGGTAAGAAAAATCAAGATTTATGAATCAAAATATGAGGAGCTGAGTGAAGTTTCACTACCTGTGAAATTTGAACCGAAAATATTGCTCCATTAAGACACAAGAAGTGAAAAATGAAAGTGTGCCACGTTAGGGGCTGCGCCACTTTAGGGTACATCAACAATACTAAAGTGCATCGTTTATTTGCAGCTATCAAAAAAGAACATGTACATGTAGGTGATGAAATTTTTGTGTCAAAAGATACAAGGTTGAAAGATAGTTACAAGTATGGCACTTCATTACGTGTGAAATAATTTTTTCTGGCAAGCTGTTATTGTAAAGAAAACTGTGAAAAAAGCTCATTCCCAAAGATTGCACACATTTTCGTTTCATTTTCCACAAAAGCATCGTCACTAGGCACACGCAACCGTGGTTATTACGTATTGTCAGATCAGTGCACGAAAATGCGTAGCTGCATTGAATTCCAGTACAATTCAAAACATGGCTTGGCAACATTTGATTTCAAGTCAAGATCCTACCATGTTTTTTTCCAAAAAATACAGTTTTCACCGAGATAAAATTTCATCAGGTCAATTGTTACCTCCAGAACTGTGGGGTTTGACATCTACCACACCCCCACAAAACTCCCACGAATTCATGGGAGTGTGACAGACGTCGAACTCTGCAATTCTGGGGTAGGCAGTTGTTATGCACCCTTCTTTATAATTTTAGCTCTTTTGTTGCCACAAACGAACAAGATGCATAAATGACAAAACGATAGACTGGAACTTTGATGAAGTAGGGTAGGCTATGTCATTAGCTTATGCTAAATTATTGTTTTATATTTAGGCCTAAAATTAGCTTCCAATTTCATATCATCAAGGCCAAGCCATACTCCCAAATGGCCAGATTATCTAGGCTTCTATTAATAATGTCATTAATCAGGTGACAAAGTTGGATAGGCCTACTTGCGCATCTCTTGACTGTAAATATTGATTTAGTGTATTTTCTGTCACTAGACCTCCGTGAATCAGACAAGCTTTTCAAGAAGCTCATTGCTCCAAGTCTTGGCAGTTTTCGTCTAGATTCTCATGTCCATCATCTTCATGCCCCTGCTAAGATGGGCCCTGTCCTGCTACCACACTGTTCCAATAGCCACGAAACCCCACAGCCCTCGAAGGCACCTCATAATGCGTCTTTGAGTGTGCGTACACCCCCCTCAACGGAGATAACATTAGATGATTCTTTCCCAAAGATTGGTGGTCCAACAACAAACAGTGCTGTTGACTTCCAAGAGAGCTTCTCAAACTCTGTAAGTGAAAACCTTACATATGATTCCCTACATGTACGTTTACATTTAGGTACATGTAAGTTTGTAACTACACATTAATTTTTTTCAATGCTCTTGAGATGCTGTCATGATGTCTTGTAAAATGACATGAGCCAGTTAAGTCTCAGATGTTTCTGTCAAGAAATGTTTCTACTCAACAATACTATATTTTGTTGACAAACGTGTTTTGTTTATTGATGTCCATGTTATCATCTGCACTTTATATATTCCAACAGATTCATTTGGGTAATTTCAAGAATTTGATCTAACATCACTTGGAGTGAGCTTGTTTCTTGTAGCGTATATTTTTTCTTTTTGTTTGATATTTCAGGATCATTGAGTTGTGAAAACAAATGTAGATAATGAAATGCCTGATATACTACTTGACATTTCCCTGGCTAAATTGTACCTACTTTAAGCAAACTATATTTGCTATTTTTTTAACTGCGCTTGTATGAAACGGAGGCCTTGCAGAGCAATGATATGTCTCTCGTTCAATTCGATCTGACTTTGAATTGACTGTATCACGTTACAACTAACTTTACTTTGAACTCATGCTGGGGGTACCTCGATCATCAGGTGTAAACGTTTAATCAATGGAAGGGATGGCATCAACAATGGTCGTCATGAAGATGTTGACACAAATTGTGTCACATTTCCTCTCCAGGTGAATATTGACCACATACCCACTTTAGAATTGCTCTGAATTGTGTGCCCAAGAATTCAAAGTGCTAGAAATAAAAGCACTGGAATTTGTCATCTGAGCTGAAATCTAAACTATCACATGACCTGAGCAACCCTTGAGGAGGGGCTAGTAGAGAAGCAACACTCTAGTGCTTAGTCATATTTTTAAAAAGGGACAAATGTTGTTAGAAACAACAAAGAATTGAACAATAATGACTGTACACTGACAGGTGGGCATATCAAAGATTATAGCAAGTTTTTAGTGCAAGCACAAGTTGTGTAAACTCACAGTACAAATCACTTCTAAATGAATTCCTGAGTCACGACCAATTGAGTCAATTAATTTGAACCATTAAATATGTGTATATTGTCAACATACATTGTACATGCAAGTAGAAACTCCCGTTCAGTTTACATTGGAGTTACTTAAGTTGAGTAGGTAGCTTAAATTCAATAGAAAAAACTTTATATCTGAAACGATACACGTTAATCATCTACCTGTATATGTAAAGCAAGTTCATAACACTTTCTAAAATTAGAAAATCCATCTTGCTTGTAATATGTACACACATCATAATGATTACAGATAGTTTCTCGAAGACTGTTCTTCCATCGGTGTACTTTACAGAATGAGAGTAGCTCAGTCACTTCAAAAGTCTAAAATTAACTCCAAATAGCAACCCAGAGCTTATAATACCAACCACACCATGAAGAAACTTGTCTTAAAAAATCAAATTGCAAACAGAAATGTTTTCTTTTCACAAGCCTTAAACAGACAAAACAAGAGACTCCAAACATTCTCACCTGGGGCATAAAATATTGACATTCTGACTTCATTGCATAGGTTGATTTACATGACAATTGGCATGATGTTTAGAGGCGTCTGGGTTACATCAAAGAACATGTTTGCCCTTCACTTGAAGTTCTGTCAGTCCACCACAGCAGATACCTCATTGTCCTTGTGTATTGATTTTGGCTGTGTCTTGTGTTGCTATGTTTGAGTCTGTGGTTTCTGGTTTAAGCTGCTCAGCCAAAGAAGAGGCCATGATGAATACCGTTTAATATCAGATGGATAAGAGGACTTCCCACTCTGGTGTTAAGATTAGAGGTTGACATTGAGTACTCCTCTGAAGATGTAAATTGTAATTGGCAATCCATTTTGATGGGTCTCCTCAGGAATGGTCAACAACTTTGTCACAACATGGATTTTCTCAACACCAGCTTTTGATCATTGGTTGTATTTCACCGTAACTGGAAAAATTGATGTTACCTGCTTTTAACAGCATATTAGTCTGGTATGAAAAAGTGGTGTGGAACTATGAAACCAATATGATATATTTTAGGAGAATGTGAAAAGCACAAGAAGCCAAAGGAGACCTTTGAGTTTTCCGTCTCTGCTGTTGGATTTATTATTCCATGGCTCTATCTGCCCCAAGCGGAAGCAAACCCTCATCGGATGAAAAGAACCATGTTGGTTTGGAGTGTTCAGTTTGTTGGTAGCAATGCGACCATGATTCCTGCATTTCCTAGTTGTTTGTGAACCAGCAAAGTTCAGTTTCGGCCAGAGGAGCTTCCGTTGCTAAGGAAATAGCGCCTTCTCTTTGTCTAGTTCGAGGCCTAAGGACAAGATTCCTCAAACTGCTGCCAAAGCATCGGACTCAGTTCTGTGGACATTTCCAATTGTATTGATTCCAAACATGTTGACCACGTCACGGTCAACGTCACCCGTGCTTCCGTCAGTGCGCATGCACAGCAGGGCCCAATCTGCAGCCTTGCCTTCTCAGAGAGCACCCTCTGTGATTAGTAATGATGCACAGTCGGCATACAGCCAGCAAAGCCGCAGTACTTTTGTTCGGAAGCTTGGGATCCTGATGGCTGAGCACCTGTCCACTAGTCATGAGTTATACCAAAAGGTTGGAAGGACATTGGTACAACCTCTATTGCTTTAGGGTTTCCTCAGTCGGCCATTTTGTCTAGTTATTGCCTACATTGATTATTGGATTTGGAAGTTGGTTCAAACATACATGTACATGCTAATCATTACGTGTGTGGATGGTTCACGGTGCCACTAATCATTACGTGTGCGGCTGGTTCATGGTGCCATTCCCATGCTGTTCTTATGAACGGAGAATAGTCACAAACCATTTTTAGGAGCACTTTCTCCATTTAAAATGCTTTGTATTGAGCCTCACTGTTTCTTCTAAAACTATTTATTTCATAGTGAAAATCTGTTTCATTTTTTATGCTTCCTGCCTAGCCAAATCTATAGAAGTTAATCATAGAAAGGCAACATCATACTCCCTTCTTCTCTTTTCTAAAATATTTGTAAATTTTTTTCAATTCATCAGGAATGATTCTTTTCTACATTTTTCTTATCAGATGTCTCACAGGTTAATAATTTGTAATCTAGTAAAGCACAGTGTGATACTGGTCCATTGCCAGTCTCTGCACCTGCAATATGCAGACATATATTCTTGTCATTCCAAATCCACTTTAAAAAATAAAAACGTCCAAACAATATCCCTTTGTGAGTATGATTTTAGGCTTCACACAGTTTTTCTAATCTGGTATAATTTGTCTTGCACTGTTCCATATATTTGTCTATTTCTAGATATTGTGCTTTCTTTTTGTCAGTATCAGAGCCCATCAGGAATAAATATAAGACGACAACAACAAAGGGCAGGAACATCTATGTCATCCGTCAGGTAATTGGTGACCGACGCACAGTAGAACTTGCTCAGTGTAGATGGGTTTCATATGAGAATACGTGTACTGTACATATATGTACTAACCAAGTACAAAGTGTACTGGGCAATGCGTGAATAATCTTTGGTGTCTTATCTGAGATCGGTCAGTTTGTTCTTGAGGTTTCAGTGGACTTTACTTTAAGCTGAATTGGAACAAAAGAGAATTAACTTGTTGAGTGCCTGCCTGGACTCTAACCTTGTGTGGATAGATAGGGTTAGTGTAGAGAAATTGTATTTGTACAGGTACATGTACTTGTAATCAAGAGCTTGATTTGAATGAATCTTTCTGTGGCTTAATTTATGCTTGACTAATTGCTACCTGCATGTAACTCATTTTCTTTTTATGATATCATCTGCTTGCCTTTTTCCAGCTGCTCTGCTAGTGTTCCTTGGACTTTCTAGTGAGTTGTGCTTTTTTTCTCGTTTAATTTTTGCTTTTGATATACCGGTGCCAGTCTTTAAAATTAAAACTCTTTTTTTTTTCACATGTAACAGAGGACACCCTCTGTTCATGACAGAGCTTCCTGGGTTTCATTCTGTACTGCATGTGTTGCCATGGAGAATGTAAAGATAGTTTTAAATTATTTCAAGAAAATCTTGAAAAATAATTTTTCCATTTTTTCCCATTTACTTTCTTGTTAAGCAAAATATGTCACTTGTAAACATTCTACCTAATTTGTTTGGCAGACATGTAGACACATTTCTGTTTATTCCGCTTTGGACATGTGTTTCAAATGTCATAATCACAACAATTTCAATTCTTTCCTTCCCCCCCAAAATATGTGTAGTTCCACCACCAAGATGAAGCAGCTTCCCCTCCCCCAGGTGCAAAGTTCAGAGGTCTTGCGAGCCACATCCCCCAGCCCCAGGGGAAAAAGAAACATCAGTGTGTGCTCAGAGAGATACCTAGGAACATCGGTGGTTGGTCAGCCACATCGAAGGTTAGAAAAGTGCCCTAAATAATTATTTTCCTGTTAAGTGAACTTGATTTCACTAAATATTTATACCTGTAAATGAGATTCATTCTTTTGTTTTTTAATCGGCATCACAAAAACTTCAAGATAAGTGGATATGCATGTTGTGGTGTGGGCATGTTGAGTTACCGAGGTATTTTTATGCATCATAGCCTACTTCCTTTGATGGGAATGATGTATGTCTTCCAGATAAGCAGAGTTCCAACTTCATTTTCTTTGAGCTAATCAAGATTTTACTGTACATAATAAAATTTATAGGCATCTTCCACCTAGTCAGTTACTTCCTGCATTGTTGCAGTTAGATGAGCATTTACTTTTGGGATTTATACAATTTGGAGACTGCCTTCGTAAGACTGGATATTTGGCAGAACACTGAATATGACAGTATT